TCATGCAAGTTCTTCTACTAGTTAGAGTTTATTCCAGTTCTGTATCCTTCCTTTCAGTGCTCAGGGCCCCAGGATTATCTTCTGTATCTGTGTTAATTGGTTGCCCTTTTCTTGAAGGAGCTCTGGTGGAATGCCTAAGGCATTTGACTGCTAACCAGAAGGCTGGTAGTTCAAATCCACAAGCCACTCCTCAGAAGGAAGATTTTGCAATCTACTTCTATAGAGATAAACCAAAAACCAAACTCACTGCTGTTAAGTCAGTCCTGACTCATAACGACCCCTCTTTGGGTTTCCAAGGCGATATCTCTATGGAAGTTGATTGCTCAATCTTCCTTCCAAGGAGTGGCTGGTGGGTTTGAACTGCCAGGTTTCTGGTTAGCAGTAAAATGCCTTAGGCACTAGGCCACCAGAAACCCAAAGAGAGGTCACTATGAGTTGGATCTGACTAGAAAGCAGCAAACTTGAATGAACTTTCTTCATTGAAGACTGTGTGGTTTGTCTGTCTATTCCACCACATTACCAGAACTCATCTAGTCTGTGATCTTTATGGGAGCAGATCACTGGGTCTTTCTCCTGAGGAGCCACTGGATAAGTTTAAACTGCCAACATTTTAGTTAGCACTGAACACTTAACCCAGGCTCTAACATAGAGATAGAAGCTATTATACCATTCCCATTTATAGGACACAAAGGAACAGAGAGGTTAACTTTCCCAAGTTAACAGATCTTATAAGTGGTGGAGCTGGGATTCAAACCCAAGCCTCTTGGATGAGCCTGTCCTCTTAACCAGGACTTTCTTGTCTCTTGATGCACAAAGGACATCTTCTATTTCTCAACATGAGTTACTCCAATATGCTCCAAGTTCCGTCTCAAACTTTTGCTGCAACAGTCATGGTTGTTGCTCATTGCAAATAAATAAATTGTTGAAATTGATCATTTCTAAACATGGCATTGCCTTCATCTCAGATGAATTTAAAGAATTAGTCATGAGAGCTCTCATTTAAGGTATTGCTATTGCTCTGATTGCTTTTAAACAACAGGTTAGGATGAAAGTATCATGCAGACCAGCATTGTCCTGGGGCAGACTGTTTGAAGAGAGAAGCTGATAGGGCAGGTCAGGTGTCTTGGTCCTTTAACTCTCCCATAAATCATCTCCACTAGATTTAGTAGAAATCCTTCAAGACACCAGAGAATACAGTGCAGGTACTACACCTAAACTTTGCTTTTGTCATAGAAATTCACTTTTTCCAGGAAGTTTGGAACTGGAAATCAGAACAATGTATTGAACAACATGGTATCTATGTGATACAGACTCCATGGCACATGGAGACCAGGCAGCATCACTCTTTTGGTCAACTTCCAAGGCACTCCTTCCAGGTGCTTTGCTAAGCACAGCCATTAGAAATAGCCTCACCCCTGTTGGTCATCTGGTAGAGATGCTAAGCTAGACCCACTGAGGGTCATCAGAACAGAAAATCAAGGCAGCAACTACTCTTATCCTATGGAAATAGGACTTCTGTGATTTCCTCCCCACCAGACCAGTATATAAAGGTACAAATTTTGACCACCTTGCTGCTAACCAAAAGGTTGGTGATTGAATCCACTCAGTGGCTCTGTGGGAAAAAGATCTGGTGATCTACTCTTGTAAAAACTTCAGCTTAGAAACCGTATGGGGCAGTTTTACTCTGTCACATGGAGTCGTTATGAGACAGAATTCACTTGATGGTGCCTGACAACAAAAAATCAGTAAAACACAAACATGGTTGCAAAAGGACATCCTTTGAAATATAAAGATTATATTGGGCATAGGGCAGGAGGAGTGGTAAACCATAGAAAGCTGTTCTTGCTCAGTGTCAACATATTTATTTCTTTTGAAACATGTAGTTATGCTCTTCAGTGACATAAATGGTGGCTTTGAAAGTGGACTTTTGAAGAACAATGGTCTGTCTTGTGGAAGGTATATTCCTTCCTTGACTGTTACTCAACTCCTCAGGCACTTGGATTTGGGAGCTATACACACTGTATGTAGGGAGCTCTGGTAGCATAGTGCCTAAGGCACTTGACTGCTAACCAGAAAGCTGGTGGTTCAAACCCACCAGCCACTCCTCAGAAAGAAGATGGGGCAATCTACTTCCATAGTGATTCTGCCTCAGAAACCCAAGGAGGGGTCACTATGAGTCGGGTCTGACTTCACGGTACATAACAACAACAACAACAACAACCCACTGTAGGAGTCTATAGTCCTCCCCTCAGGTTGGGAGGTGACAGGTACACAGGGGTCCAAACACTGTGTGTGGTCTGAGGAAAGCACATTGATGGTGTAATGTCATTGTGACTCAGGGTGGGAGAACAACTACAAGTGATGGTGTCAAGGAGCTGATTGGGCAGCTGCAAAATCCTTGTTAAAGCCACTGGATCAGAGCAGGAGGTGAAGAAGGGCTGCATGACCATCAGGGACAATCATAAAGTCCACATATTCACTGTGACCATGCAGAAGCTCAGGGAAGATGATATAGATGTTTACTGGTGTGGGATTGAGAGAAATGGAGCTGACCTTGGAGTCCATGTCAAAGGGTCAATTGGCCCAGCATCAAAGTCAAACACACCTACAAGTATGACTTAAACCATGACCTCCACAACCTCCATGACCTCCATGACTTCCACAACTTTCACGAATTCTACAACCACAACTGAAGCTCCACCTGTGTCATCTGCTATGCTGATCACAGAGAATGCTACCCATAGCACAAGCAGCCAGGAGAACGCCAACCAGAGCCAGGGCACATGGTCTCTGTTCAACAGCATCCACTTCCTGCTTCTGGTCTTCCTGAAAGTGCCTATGTTCTTGATTATGCTTGGTGCTGTCCTCTGGGTCAAGAGGCCCCAGAAAATCCCTGGGTAGGAGATTGACCAGTCCAACTATGAAAACCAGTAGCCCTAGTTTCCAGGATGCCACCTCTCCTTGTATCCAGACCATGAGGTGGAATCAGAATGATTTTCTCAGCAATAAATTTTGTGTCACGAACCAGGATTCTATCAAAAACAACAATAAAAAAAGGGGGCAATCTACTGAACAGAGTCCCTCCCTGAATGCTCATAGGGGTAAGGATCCAGCTACTAACCAAAAGTTTGGCTGTTTGAATCCACCCAGAAGTGCCTCTGGAGAAAGACCCAGTGATCTATTTCCAAAAGGGAACTAAAATTCACCCCTGTAACTCAACTGTCAAAGGATAGACAAAGAGAGTATGAACTCATTAGAACAATCAAGCATATGAAATCAAGGAGATAGCATTTGCTCAGGGATAGAGCTACCAAGGCAGGAGTGGATGGAGAGGAAGGACAAAGGGAAGGATTGGGTGCAGAGAGGAAATGGGAAAGAATGCTCTTAAAGTGTGAGGATTGCAGTAAATATCACAAAAGAGAAAGTGTATAGGTTGTTGAATGGAAAACCAATTTTCTCTGTATACTTTCACCAAAACCACAAACAAACAAACAAAAAACCCTGTGGAGCAGTTCTTCTCAGAAACACATAAGGTCACCATGACTGGAATTGACTCAATAGCAAATGATGGTGATAACATCAAGCAATTAACTTCAATTCACTGATTCAAGTTTCTCATTTGTGAAAATAAAGACAATCATAGTTTTCTCAAAAAGTTATTGTGGGAAATACTTTTATTTATATATTTAATTATTTACATATAAAATATAAAATTATAAATGATTATATACATACCTTATATATAAATGTGATTTTAACATATTATATTGTGGGTGAGGCATTTGGTTGCTAACCAAAAGGTCAGCAGTTCAAACCCACCAGCTGCTCCACAGGAGGAAGAAGAGGCAACTACTTTCTGTAAAGATTTACAGCCTTGGTTACCCAATGAGGGTTGCTATGACTCAGAATTGACTCAATGGCAGTGGATTTGGTTTGGGTTTATATGTATATGTACGTTTCATTTGTAATTTTAACGATACACAGTTCTTAAACATACCAACAGTGACATACCAAGAGGTGGTGTAACACAGGGATGATGAGGGTAGTCTACCAACAAGGATGATGAAGGTGGTCCAACCCAGGTACTGACAATAAGGGAGTCAGTAGGTGTAATTTTAAATAAGTAAAAACACAACCAAAACCAATCTTCTTTTTACTATCATAATGCTCTAGCAATGCTAAACAACATTGCCAGTGATAAAATACTTCTGTCCACTGCAGCAGACCACTCCCACCATCCCAGCAACTCCCCAACCTCCACTTGAGACATGCTCCTGCTTGAGAGATGCTCTGTATTTACTCTCTTTTCTAGTCAGTGGTACGAACAGAGAGGACCCTGGATACATACTGGCTTAAGGAGTATCAAACAGTAAAAACAGTCATTTGAGTGACAATTTCTTGTGTGTGTGGAGTACTTAGTTTTGAAATGCACTCAAGCACATTTAATCATTGGGTGATGTCAAGGTTGAGTCGCCCTGATTGAGATTCAACAAGAGCTCACTGAATGCCTGCTCTCTATTAGTTCTCAGCCCTGTCTGCCATTCAAATCCCCTGGGGAGCTATAAAAAGGATCAATGCCTATGCTCCACTTCAGACCAATTAAATTGGGATTTTGAGGTGGGGGATGGGGATGCCTGGTTATTGGTACTTTTTAAAATCTC